AAATTTTATTTTTAAAAATTTTATTAAAATAGAGCTAACGTACGATATTACATGAGTTTCGGGTGTAGACCATAGCTATGTAGCATTTATACACCTACAGACGTGACAGCCATGAGAAGTCTGCTAATCCCCAAAATCGTGCAGCCTGATGACATCATTCACGCGGCTCCCTGTGCCGTACGTTACAGCTCCATGGCTCACTTATTTTATAACTGGAAACTGAACTGCTTCTTCCCCGTCACCTTGTCCCCCTTGTAAAAAATTTTTCAATTACAGCTGACATTCGATATTGTCCTATATTAGTTGCAGGTATATAGCATAGTGGTTAGACATTTATATACCTTACGAATATAACTTAATCCCCCGATGAGTCTAGCACCCACCCGGCACCACACATAGTGACATGTCACTGACTACATTCCCTGCGCTGTACTTCACGTCCCCCTGACTATTGTGTAACTGCCGATTTGGGCTTCTTCATCCCTCCCCTTTGTCACCCCGCACCCCAACCCCAGACCGTGAAATTCTAAAGATCATTAGGGAGGATTTTTTGAAAGTTGGTTTACGATTATCAAAAATACCAATTTATAATTTTAAAAAGCACGTGTAAAGCATGATGAGATTTTGATGAATACATATCAATACGTACCACGATCTGTTGCGCGTGATTCCCTCTGGCCAGTGTAATTCCGGATGATATTGAGTCGCTTGTTTTTCTTTTCGAAATATTCTCCAAAGAATGTCTGTTTCCGAGTAAAGAAGCTTACAGCGTTACTTTGAAAACGCGACAAGAGACAAGTCCATCTGTCACTCGATCAGAGAGAGAGAACTCTTCCTGATTTGCAGACCTGACGTCCTGCAACTACATTTCTAGCCTCACGGTCAGGGCTGGAGGTGGCTAAGGGTCGCTTAGCGTTATTCTCTACCCATTTGATGATGCCCCTGCTCTAATCCCTTCCGAAGAAGAATCCCAGTGATAATTCCCACTCCTCCTAACACTGACACGGACACACAGAAGCCACAGGCCCCGGCGGTCATATGTATCTACGGAATAGTTCAACCACAAATGGGATGTCATACTCAGACTTAAACCAATAAGGAATGAGTTTATCTGGATTCCAAGAATCAGAAAGACAGGAATGCTAGAGGTGGTCAGACTACAATAAACCAGGAAAAAGTCGGTGGCAGTGAGAGAGGTAATGAGATAATAGAACATAGCAATGTAATAATTATATTACATTACATTATTAATTTATTACGTATAATAAATTAAATGTACGATATCCAATAAATATATATTAGAATATATAATGTAGTCATAACATAACATAATAGTACCTACCTCTCAACTGAGATCAACAAAACTGACAAACTTTAGACAGATCGACTAAGAAAAAAAGAATATTTAAATAGCTAATTAAGAGAAGACATCACTACTGACTTTATAGAAATAAGAAGTTTAGAAGAGTGAAAAATTATATGCCAGAAAATTGAATAATCCAGGTGAATAGACAAATTCCTAGAAATGCACAATTGACCAAGAATAAATCATAAGGAAATAGAAAATTTGAAAAGACTAGGAAGGATTTTGAATTAGTCATCAAAAACCTCACAACAAAGAAAAACCCTAAACCAGAAGCTTTACTGGTGAATTACGCACCAATCCTTTGCAAAGCCTTCCAAAAAATGAAGGAGGGAGCACTTCTAACTCATTCTATGAGGCCAGCATCACCCAGACAAAGGCTGCAGACTAAATCACCTCATAAATACTGATATAAAAAAAAAGTCAACAAAATCAAATGCAGCAACATATTAAAAGGATCGTACAACCTAACCCGGTGGAAATTACGCCTGGATGCAAGAATCATTCAACATCCAAAAAAAATCAATCAACGTGATGCACCCCATTAGCGGAACGAAGGGGCAAAACCCACGGGCATCTCAATGGATGCAGAAAAAGCATTTAACAAAATTCAACACCCTTTCATAATTAAAAAAAAAAAAATTCAATGAAATGTGAATGAAGGGAAACGTCCTCAATCTGATAAAGACCGTACGTGAAAAACCCACAGCTAACATCGTCTCTCGTGGTGAACGACTAAAAGTTTTTCCCTTGAGAACAGGAAGAAGAGGAGGGTACCACTCTCACCATTTCTCTGCAATACTGGAAATTTTAGCCAGCGTAGTCAGGGAAGATGAGCTAAGGTTCTCTGACTTTGTTACCTTCTAAGATCTTCTTGACTATCGTGCTTTGTCTTTCTGTATGAATCGTAGAGTAACCTTGTCAGGTGCTACCAGCCAACATGAGTTGAGATTCATGTACGCATTCGAAAGAACCCAATTTTAAAATGACATTTTTAAATAAGCTTATCAAATTCTACAAAAAAAAAAATAATAATAACAGTACTGAGATGCATATGCATTGAAGCCACAGGTCAATTTGGGTGCAGATAAATGGGAAAACATCCACGTTCGTGGATTAGAATATTTAATATGGTTCAAATGCACGTACTGTCATTGCATTTTCCGTTAATGAGGGGTCTCTGCTAAAACTTGGGGTGTAGAATATGCTAAATTACTTGGGGATTCAGACTCTGTGTGGCCATCCTTTGTTCTGGCCACACCGTTGAGACTTTCTTGGCACCGCGAGAAGCCTGACGGTGACAGGTGCTGTCCAGGTCACCGAGATCACTGGCTGACCTGATCAAGAAATGAGCCCCAAGAACGAAAGAGGACCAATAAGGCCTCGTCGGACCAGCTATGAGGGTCGCTGACAAGCTGGGACGTTCACGTCTCGATGCTAGAAAATACGGGGCATAGTATTAGATCCTTGCGTGTCGCTCGGCCCTGAGGGAGCAAAGAGCGTGCGATGTCGCCGCCTGGGTGACCGCCGGGAGCGGGACCCAGAGTGCGGGCCAGCTCTGAAAAGCTTGAGACTCGCCTGCACGGGGGACCCGCTTCCGCCTGGCAAACGCACAGGCTGCTGACGGAGCGTCTGCCACATGGCACCGCCCCTTCGCTCCGCGTGCTCACGCTGTCTCCTAGCAGGCTAGGAGTTTTTCTTGGGACCCGGCCCCCCAGAAGGTGCTCGGTGGTCTTCAGCTAAATGATGTTAACTTCCTTTGACCGCAAACATCAGTGCTAGCGGTGGGGCGTGTGGCGCAGACGATAACTTCATTTAGTCCACAGATGTGGGGAGGGGACGTGAGGATGGAGTGTGAGGCGTGCTAGGACCCGGGCCCGGGACCCACCCAGACTCCGCTCCAGGACCAGGTGCACCTGCAGAGGCAGTGCCAGCCCCTCCATCCCTCACCCCGCCCGCCGCCACACCTCAGTTTTTCCACAGGAAATAGAAACATCATTATTCACCCAATAGCTGCTGAACTGGAGCTTTGCATGCAAAGAGGGAGTTGACGAGAGTTTTTGGGAACCGAGTGACACATCGGGACACCAGGAAATCACGGGGGAAAACCCTGGGGACACCAGGAAACGGTGGGGAGCTCCCTTTGGTTCCCTCCTGCCCGGGCCGAGCAGGAGGAATAAAAGGACGCTGCCCCGGGCTTCTCCACACACCTGGATCCCCGAGCCCTGGAACAGCCGGAGAGGCAGGTGAGCGGGAGCCTCGCTCTGTGGGCCAGGAAGCCCGTGCTGGGTCCCCACGGCGGGGAATGAGAGCACCGCGTGGGGTTGTGGGTCGGGGCAGGATGCAGAAAGGACAGACAGACAGACCGGGAGAGAGGGTGCGGGGAGAGGCACGTGGCGTGCGGTGCCGACGGTCGGGCGTCCAAGCCGGTGCCGGCAAACTGAAGCCACAGCCCACCCAGCCCGCCTCCCGCTCCCGTCCATGGCGTGTGACTGGAACGCGGCGTGCGCCCTTGCGGGCCGACCGTCCGTGGCCAGTGCACGGACACGCGGAGCTGGAGAGCAGGGCAGAGGCTCTGGAACGCGGCGTGCGCCCTCGCGGGCCGACCGTCCGTGGCCGGTGCACAGACAGCGGAGCTGGAGACCAGGGCAGAGGCCGTCGGGCCCAAGACGCCTAACGCGCCCGCTCCCCGGCCCTTTACGGGGAAGGTTTTACCAACTGCCCTTCTAACGTGGGAGGCAGTTTGAGGTTAATGCGATTCGAGGTACAGGTGAGAAAGTTCCAGGTCAGCCGAGCAGACGTGGCCACGGCCGAGGCCAGAGCTTAGCGTCCTAAGCCCCAAGCTTTGTTCTTCCTCCTGCCCCACGTTGAGTTATTGCCCGCGTTTCACGCTCGAGCTTCCGACCGCAGGCGGGAGCCATCTGGCGAGGAGCCACCTGGCGAGGCCTGAAGCCGGAGGCCCGGCTGGGGCGGCCCGGGTTCTCACCTTGCGGACAGCCAGGGCGAAGGGACACTAGTCCCCCTAGGAGAAGCCGTGATCGGGTGTGCAGTAGTCGGGGGTGATACGCAGGGACGGGAGAGGTTGCTGGAGGGGGCCCAGCAAGCGGCCACGGCCAGGGTCACGGTCACGGTCACGGAGAAGGAAACAGGTGCAGTATCTGGGGGAACTACCGTCCAGTCTCCCCGAAGCCGACGCTCCGAATCGACGGGTCCCACGAGATTGAGCGGGTGCTCCGCCGCCTCTCAACCCTCTTCCCTTTGAGCTGATTATTCTCAAGACATTTCACCTTTAACTTCGGGCGCTTTGCTGATTCCTTCCGAATCGGCTTCTCCCGACACCCGGCCTCGTGGGCGTGCTCGTTTAAAGGGCGCTGGGACGGTGTGGCCCCCGGGCACCTGCGGGCAGCCCCCGGGAAACCCCTGCGGCCACTGCGGCCCAGGAGGCTTCTGCGGGGTGATAAGCTTATCAAATTCTACAAGCGGGTGGTCCTGGGAGGGCGTGAAGCGGGTGGTCGCAGCATTGATACTGAAGAACACAGTCATGAGAGGGGGCGCTTGTCCCCATGCTGATTCGGCATGACCTCCTCTGCTGACATTACCTTCTACTTTCTTTCAGTTGATCTCCAATCCAAGGAAAATGTCCTACCAGCAGCAGCAACAATGCAAAGTCCCCTGCCAGCCCCCTCCCCTGGTGCCTGTGCCCTGCCCGCCCCAGGTGCCTGTGCCCTGCCCGCCCCAGGTGCCTGTGCCCTGCCCTCCCCAGGTGCCTGTGCCCTGCCCACCCCAGTGCCTGTGCC